TCCTTGCAACATAAAAAGGAGGATAAACTAGAAATCGGTGACTTCAAAAAAAATCCATCCAAGAAGAAAGGTTGCAGATTAAATTGCCACCTCAAGATCCCCAAAGGCAGGACAATCCATAGAATCATAGGTCAGATCTGCTTCCTCAGATTGATACATTTAGAGCCGTAGCTGGTAGAAGGCCTTCAGTGATCATTCTGATGAACTTCTGGAGGCTGAGAGTGGACTAGCCTGAGAGTAAGACACTCCCAGGCTTGGGAGAACCTCTACACTTGCACAAACCTTTCTGCTGAAACCTCAGCAGGTTCTCGCTGGAAAGCTCTGAGGAAGAAAGATTCCCCTCAGCTGAGACCTCTGAACTGAGGGGCCATAGGAAGTCTCCCTTCAGGTCTGAAACTGAGCTCATGACTGTGCTAGAACAATAAACCATCGATGATCAAAAGGGCAGCGTTTACCCGGCGATGCAGTTCAGAGGGTTAGGAAAGAAGGCGGGATGGAAAGAGGACGCACAGGGAGCCAACAGGCTACGTGATGGTACGTTGAAAGGTTTGCACTGGATGCGTGAAAAGGTGTAAGAATGACTCTAAAATTGATGATCTGCTCAGTAAACCTTCATCTAACTCACAATAAAAAAGAATTTAAGAAAAAGATCCCCTACTGGCTTGGGCATGATTAGAGGAAGAATAATTATCATGAAACCCACCCAGGATCTTAAATACCTATGCCAGAGCCTCATCTCAGGTGGGGCTGAGCAGCCCCTCTCCGACACACCCCTGTAACCTTCCTGTCTAGTGTAAGAAAGAAACAAACAGGACATCATTAACAGAAGCGAGAGCTTCAATGAAATAAATCAGGGAAACTGCAGCCAGGAAGGGAAGATAGGAGCAGAGATCAATTTTTTTAATTGAAAAAACAAAACAAAAACCCTACAGCACTGATGAAATATTTGTGACTATCACAATCCAGAAATGCAGATCCACAAAGATATTGAAATTTAATCAGAAGATTCCAGGGTGCCCTTAGAGTTAGAGCTGAAAGTATTGCCAGACCTTGCCTCTATTTGAGCAGGAGTTCTGGGGGAAATTCAGGAAATATTAAATACAACTCAAGTCTTAACCTTGTGGATCTAAAACCTCACACTACAGACTTATGAAGGAGTAGCTCAGTGGTAAAAGCAGATACCTAATCAACAACTACCTGTTGGCAGGTTGGCACTTTAAGCGCTCCTGTGATACCCTGGGAGGGAGGGCCTAACTATCCACTTCCAAAGGATGAAAGCCTTTTGAAACCCTCTGTGGTCCTCATGAATCAGAATCCCCTCAACAGCTACAGCCGAGGACTTATTGACCCGTGTTTCTCATACCAATTACATCATATCCAGCTTTCATCAAAAGTCATGAGACAAGCTACAAGGCCAGGGGAAAGGCTAGAGAGATAAAGGCAGCATCAGAACCACACGCCCACATGACAGAATTGCTGGTATTATACACGGAAGCTTCTAAACAGCTATGAAGACTACAGACCTCTGGTGGCAGAGTAGACCATATAATATGTCCCATAATATATTCAAAATGGTCAACACCAGTCAATTTCAGCTCACTAAATCCTTATGCATTCCATTCCATTTATAACTTTTTATTGTGAATTGGCTTAAAGTTTGCAGAGAAGACCAGTTTTTCACTCAATAATTCATACACATTTTGTTTCATGTCATTGATTACAATACCTACAGTATTTTGTTCGTAGGTAAATGCTGCCTTTAAAAAAAATTATTTTATTGGGGGCTCTTATAGCTCTTATAACAATCCATTCATCAATTGTATCAAGCACATTTGGACATATGTTGTCATCATTTCCAAAACATTTCCTTTCTACTTGAGCCCTGGGTAACAGCTCCTCTTTTTCCCCTTCTGTCCCCACCCTCCCACCCTCTTGAACCCTTGATAATTTACAAATTATTTTTAATTTCATATTTTACACCATCTGCTGTCTCCCACGTTTCTCTTGTTCCTCCCCCTGGTGGGCCAATCAATGTGATGGGTTCCCCCTTTCTCCCCCTCCTCCCCCCACCTGCCTCCTACCCTCATGGTATCTCTCTGAAAGTAAACCTGGTCTTCTTTTATGATTTTGAGCTAGGTTCCACTTTTTGTTCTACTCTATACAAGACCTTCGAATTTGATCCTTTTCAGAGCAGTTGGTAGTGCTAGCCGGCACCATCTAGTTCTTCCGGTGTCTTGTGGAGACTTACGGAGACTGATGCTCATGTGGTCCATTAGTCCGTTGGACTAATTGCTACCATGCAGTTTCTATTTTTGTCACTCTTCTTTCCTCTGAGAGATGGCCTCTCACAAGTTTTTATGAGCCCAATAGTTTTTACCACCTCACGTAGGATGTAGAACATTGACTTGGTGGGCTACATTATGCCAATTGACCTTAGTGTCCCCAGGGACTATGGTTCTGAGTCTTCAGGCCCAGTGACTCATTTCCTCAAAGTATTTGGTTATGTCTAAGGCATTTTCAAAACCTGGACACTTATATGTTTCACCACGAGGAGCCCTGGTGGCATAATGGTTATGTGTTGGGCTACAATCCTCAAAGTCAGCAGTTTGAAACCATCAGCAGTGCTATGGGAGAAAGACAGGGCTTTCTACTTCCACAAAGAGTTTCAGTCTCAGAAACCCAAAGGGGCACTTCTACCCTGTCCTATAGCAACTCTGAGAGTCAGCATCAACTCAATGACAGTGAGTTTTGAGGTATGCGTTACCTTGCTTATGGATACATTTGCAGCCAAGATAAATACCCTTTGTATGACAAAGACATAACCTTTGTCAAGCCTACATGTATTTGTGAGCAGATTGCCTTGCAGACCTATTCAGTCTTTGTGTTTTTTTCATGCATTTACTCATCAATCAACTTTATTGCAGGGTTATGTGTACAGTGATATTTATCTCTGTTGCTTTAATTCTTGCAGCTCTCCGACGTTCCCCCTGTTGCCATTATTTTTTATTGACTGTGTGAGACCAGGTTGGCTAGAGAAACAAATCCAGTGACAAGCATACAATTACTTCTTTATATCAAGAAGCAATTATATATCAAGGAAGCATCCCAGTCCAGTCCAACTCAAGTCCATAAGTCCGATGCTGGTACATAAATCCCTCTTCAGACTCACACAGTCACGTGCCGTGACGCACAGGGTGGTGTGAACAAAGTCTTGTGGTCAGAGATCACTGGAAATTCTGATAGGGCTCCAGCAGCTTTCAGGGTCACCAGCAAGCAAGAAAATGAAGGAAGAGAGAGAAACTCCAGAGAGCTATATATTTCGGTCACATCTCAAGGGAGGCTGTCAGCCTGAGACCAGATTGACAGGCTAAATTTCACCCATATCTTCTTACAGATGTCATGCTGGTACAAAAAAAACTGAACTATCACACTGACATCCATTTTATTGGATATGTCCTTCCTGTTCACCCTAGTTAACATCCCTGTCCTCTAGTGACTAGCCATTGACTTTTGACAACTTCCAATTACCAAGGTTCATACGTGGGACATTCAACATTCTGATTATTAATGAACATTGTGGTAGTTTGTTCTTGAGCCATGCCATTTCAGAAACTGAAGATCACAGACACTCTCCTCCATCCACATCTTTAAGGTCAACACTACTTTGAGGAGGCAGCTCTTCCCTGGTTGTATTTTTAGTTCCTTCCAACCAAACGGGCAATGACCTGTGCTATTCTTCAAGGATTTCAGTGGCCATTTTTTTAGAAGTAATTCACCAACTTCTCCTTCCTGCTTTGTGTTAGTCTGGAAGTTCTGCTGAAATATGTCCATCATGAGTCACTCTGCTGGTGTTTAAAACACCAGTGGAGGTACAGATAGGAACTGAAAATACAGGGAATCCAGGACGGATGAGCCCTATAGGACCAGTGGTGTGAGTGGCAAAACAGGGAGGGTAAAGGGAGAATGGGTAGGAAAGAGGGAACCGATTACATGGAACTGTGTGTGACCTCCTCCCTGGGGGACAGACAACCAAAAAGTGGGTGAAGGGAGACATCGGACAGGGTAAGATATGACAAAATACCCATTTATAAACTATCAAGGGCTCATGAGGGAGGGGGGGGCAGGGAGGGAGGGGAAAAATGAGGACCTAATGTCGGGGGTTTAAGTGGAGAGAAAATGTTTTGAGAATGATGTACAAATGCGCTTTACACAATTGATGTGTGTATGGATTGGGATAACAGTTGTATGAGCCCCTAATAAAACGTTAAAAAAAATAAAATAAAAAATAAAAATAAATTAAAAAAACACACCAGTGGCATAGCCCCCAGTGTCACAGCACCTAGCAAGCTACCACTACATTAGAAACTTGCATTTCACTGGTGGAACTTAGAGAAGCCTTGCGGACACACACTGTGGGAGGCATGGGTACTATGTACAGATGTGTGATCATGAGTGAAAAAGACACATTTTACACACCTTGAGGAATATTTCTTTTACAGGAAGACATATCAACCAAATGATACATGTGAAGCACATTAAATTGTTGCTTATGAGGGTTACGGGTTGGAAGAGGCGGGAGTGACAAGTAGTCATTTAAGAAAATTAAAATGTAATAAAGATAAAGCCACTAACTGCTGGCTTTCGAGCCCTGTCTCATTCACGTGCCACTGGGCTTCCTCAGCTGCCCATATTCTATCCTAGCTGTGCAGCACCCCTGCGTCAGCAGGGTGGGATGTCTCCATTTATTTATTCCTCCATCATCGTGAAAATCCTTTTCCCTTTGTCACCTCTTCTCCTTCTCTCTCTAAAACCCCCAGTGCGATGTGTTTGCTCATTCACATCAAGCATATCCTCCTCTCACAATTTCGCAATCTCTGACCTCTCACTCATTGCTGCCCTTCTGTGGAGAGAAGCACACCATGATGAAACCCTGACAGAATACAAAACAAGTTCCAAACAGCTTCACTGGTCACTCTCTCTAGGGATCTGCATTCTCTCTGTCTCTCTGTCTCTGTGTGTGTGTGTGTGTGTGTGTGTGTGTGTCGGTAACCACTCCAGATCCCCTCTTAAGCCTCCTCCCCCTCTGTCCTAATCTCAAAGTCCAGCTAGTCAGTGAAGAGTTGGAGCCCATCCTCAGACTGCTTCACAAAGACTCGCTTCCCGACACAGAAAGAGGACTTCCGCCTGGAGGTATTTGCTGAGATCTTTGCGCCTAGAGACCTTCTCTCCTAGGACTCCAGAGATGCGTCTTTCTTGGATCCGGAGCCTGAGATGTGAGTGGAAACCCGGGGCACGTGGGTCAACAGAGGGCATGTGAGAGGGAAGAGGCTGAGCTCCGTAGCCTTTTGTCTGGAATTTGGAACGTTAGGCCTAGAAAGAGCCCTAACATATGGTTTTCACTGTGTCAGATCAAATACCTCCTGATCATAGTCTATAGTTCATAATATTTTCTTTTATCCTGAAATGAAATTTGTGGAATAAAAAAATCTACCAATATATAATTTCAAAATAACACAATATCTTAGCTGCAATGTAAAGAAGAAAGAAAAAGAAATCCATTCATAATTGAAGCAATAACTCAAGGGCACCACTGTAGAACACATTAGGCATCTTCATGGTTTCCTGGAATGCCCTCTAGATTCTAGCGTCCAGAAGGTACCACCCCCTTAGCTACTAACAGGAAACTGAGACTCAAAGAATCACATTGATTCTCACAGAGTCGCCCAAGACAGGACTAGAACCCAGAACTTCCCCTTCCACTCGAGCTCTCCCGTAAGCCCAGGAAATGTGAGGAGAGCTAGTATGGCCTCCTTGATGACTGAGACATTGGTGTGGGGGCTTCATGGATCATGTCCTACCTGTTGGTGATTGTCATGTGTCTTGTTCTTCTAGAACGCGATCACATACTAGGATCCCTCATGCAAACATGAGCTGAAGCAGTTGTCTGTCAGTTTATCTCTTAGAAAAAAATTCACTACCCTCGAGTCAATTCCAACTCATTAAAATCTCATGGGACAGAATAGAACTACCCCTTGAGTTTCTGACATTTTAAAGATGTATGGGAGCAAACAGCCCATCTTTTCCCAGCAGGATGACTGGTGGGTTTAAAAGCCTGGCCTCGTGCTTAGCAGCAGCATCCAAAGCTCACTACACCAACAGGACTCAGTGGAACTTTTTCAGCCCTTCAAGTTTTCAGCAAGCAATTGGTTAATTGTCATCAAGTAGACCCCCGGCTCATGGCAACTTGGTGTTTGTCAGAGTAGAATGGGGCTCCATACAGTTTTCATATGGATGAGTTTTTTTCAGAAGTAAACCACCAGATATTTCTTTCAAGTTCTCAGTGGGTGAACCCCAATGACCCACCTTTTAGGTATGAGCCCATCACCGGAGCTATTTGGACCACCCCAGGAGTCTCAGCAAGTATTGTTACTGCTCGTTGCCACTGAGTTGGCTCAGACCATAAGCACCTTACGGGTGAGAGGATTGATCATTGGTCCTGCATCGTCTTCATGACCCCTGGGAGGTTTGAGTTCATTGTTTCTGCCATTGTATCAGCCCATCTCATTGAAGGTTTCTCTCCTTTTTAGGGAAACTTTTACTGTTCCCTATCATGAGTAGCGTTTCATCTTCATTTGCTCATCTTTCCTTTTTCTTCTTTCTTCTCATATCTTCTCTTTTCTTACAATTGAAACTCTGCGAAGCTTAATACATGCCTGAAGCTTTGACTCTATTGTCTCACTGTATCTCCAACCACACATGTTAGCTAGAATGGTTAAGTTCATCTTACACTGAAGATTAAGAAAGATATAAGCAATTTCTTCAAAGGGGTTGCTCTAAAAGGTTAGTACATTTTAAGTATTATCAGAAATGTAAAAATAAATAAGACCCAATCCTTATATACCCCAAAACTAATCAAACACCTACATACAAGGGGGCTTTCCAGAGTTCATGGGAAAATGGAATGAAAAGGTAATGGAGTTTTCCATGCATTTTTGAAGCTCCCTCATACACTATACTTATACCTAAAATACTGAGTCTTACCAACATGTTTTATAGACAAGGTCACTGTGGGGTGCATATGATTCCAAGTTAGAGAAGCAATGGTTTTCAGTATAAATGAGTGAATACAATATCTCTGTGGCTTCTTCTTTCCTAATTGGTTTGTGACTGATAAAGTTATAGCCTGTCCAGGTAGGTCAGGCATGTGCTCAAATGTATCATTTTCCTATCATATAGCTTCTCTTTCACAAAGAAGGGCCACATAGGAGAGTGAGAGGATGGTAAATAATGCCATTTCCAGATAAGAAATACCCCCAAGATTCCTGCAAAGCCTTTCTAATAAAAGAATATGGAAATGCCAAAGAGTGGTCTCCTGCCTGCAACTTTCTGACCCACCCTCGCTGCAGTCTGTAACCCATTGGCTACCACTCAGTCAGTTCTGACTTAGAGACATGCCGTGTGTGTCACGGAAGACCTGTGCTTTGTACCATTTTCAATGGCTGGTTTTTTCAGAAACAGATCACCACTCCTCTCTTCTAGATGGACTCATTCACATCTGAGTTCATTAACAGATTACATAATTCAGGCACTCGTATTGAAATCTGTTTAACAGATTTAACACATGGAAGAGGCTGGGAGGGTGAACTCAGAGAAGTTTTTTAAAAAATCACCCAAAAGAAGGATAGACTGAGCCTCCACCAACCAGCCTTAGAATCAGCCAGGACATCTGAACAAAGGCCTCTGCTCTTCGCTCACATCAGCAAAATTGCATTTAGAGTAAAGATACGATGGTAAGATGCCGAGCTAAAAAAAAACGGACAGGAAACTGAGGACGTGGGCAGGAAAGGACACAAGAAGTCAAGAAAGGCTCAACCAGAGTTAGAGCAACTCCTGGGAAGGAAGCCTGCCAAGCATGGCATGGCTTCCCTGAAGATCTCAACTATTCCCTCCATTCTGGGCATTTGTGTATGGCCTGCAGAGGACATCTTGTTTGTCTATCTGTGGTCCCACGGCAGACCCTTGACTTTCCTAGTGGTAGGCAGGCCTCTGGTGTGATTCGAACACTCAGAGCACATACGAGGGCAGGCAAAGGTCACCCACCTGGGTTCTTTTCTAAGACCCTGGTGGGGGATTGGGTGATGCGAAACAGAATCTTCAACCTTCTGAAGACAGTGAATCATTTTGTGAAGGATAAAAGATCCCCCTGCAGGTCTGGAACTTTGTCAGCCCCATCTTAGGGGGAAGAAAGACTTTTAAAAACCTTTTTCCACAGCCAACCACCGCTCCTCACAAGTCCAGAACCCAACATAATCTTAAAAGACCCCCATGGGAAGTGGTATCTTAAAACCTCAGCACCACTGATGACCTTCAAGATAGAAAATGCTCATTTAATCTGCCATAGCCTTATATTTACAATGAAATGATCAAATACTCCTTTCCTAACTCATGAATTGTCCTATGCATCAAATGAGAGGGGCATTGAGAAAAAGGAAGACCCTCAATAAGATGGTTGGCACAGTGGCTGCAACGATGGACTCAAACATAAGGAAACACTGTGAGGATGGCCCGGGACAGGGTGGTGTTTCATTCTATGATACATGGGGTGACTATGAGTCAGAATCGACTCAATGGAACCTAACAACAAAAATATACAGCAAAGTTTTTTCAAGTTTAAAGGAGGTCTGGTAGCACTGTGACATAAGTGTTGGGCTGCAAACCACAATGTCAGTAGTTCAAGCCCAACAGCTGCTCCACAGGAGAAGGATGAAGCTGCCTGCTCTTGTATAGATTTACAGCCTAGAAAACCCTGTAGAGGTTCACTGTAAGTCAGAAGAAGCCCCATAGCAGTGGGTTTTGGTATTGTACTATTCAGGGTCCCTGTGTGGTGCACATGTAACGTATTTGGCTGATAATCAAAATATTGAAAGTTAAAGTCAACCCAGAGGTGCCTCATAGAACGGTCTACCCAAAAAAAAAAGAAAGAAAGAAAATGCTACAGATGACAGTGCTATTCTGATATGCCATGACTTCAAGGCAACTTGACAACTGATTTGGTTTTTAATAAGTTATACAGAAGTAAAATATAACTAGAATTTTAATAAATGCCTTAATATTCTAGCAGTCATGCTCAACTTATGCATTCAAATATCTTATTTTGTTTTGTTTTTTCAAGAATGAGGAAGTCCCTGAGAGGTGTTGAAATTGGCTGTAGATGTTTTTTAAATGTTTTCATTATAAAGTGAATGTTCCTAGAATTTTCAAATGCCCCAAAAAGTTGATTTCAATTTTTCCCATCTTTGATATGATGATTCTTGGAAAAGAAAGCTAAGTTACAGACTGACAAGCTGTGAAATTTATTGTGCTTGTGAGAATTGGGCAGCTGGAAAATTAGATCCACTTACCCATTGACATTCAATATGTAAGAGCGGTGGTAGTCTGAAAATTGAATTCTAGTTTTAAGGTCATGAATTGTCCTGGTGAACTGAAGTGGAAGCTGGTGAAAGCAATGAATATTGTTAGTTGCCACTTATGTTTAGACATCAGATATTAAAAGGCAGTCTTAGGCCAGTTAAATTTTTTAAATTCTATACAAAAGGGCAAGGCTTTTTACTCCTATTAAAGAGTTCCAGTATTGGAAATTCACAGGGGTGGTTCTACACTGTCTTATAGGGTGACCATGAGTCAGATTCAACTCGATGGCAGTAAATGAGTTAATCAGAAATAGTTCTGAATTCAGTGTTATTAACCCAGATCTCTCTGTGTCTAGTTTCCTCCCATTCACACATAGCACATGTATGCATACATATGCATACATGTGTGTGTACCCACATATGTGACTTCTAAGGGGCCCAAGAAGAGCTTTATTAACTCTCAACTCTTACCTCTACCTGAAAACCTAAGCTCTTCTGAATCCATTATGCAAGCAATTATCTAGATAATTAGACTTTTAAATATTCTTTTTTAACAGTTCTATTGGCAAGTCATTTACATATCATATAATTCAATAGTCCAATCATTCAATCATATCAAGGAGAATTGTACAATTATCACCACCTCCATTTTAGAACAAACACTACCCCCCATGGTCAAACCACCTTTAAGATGAGTTATGCAATCACAATCCATTCTAGTACTCCCTCCCCCTCCCATCTTCATTATTTATTCCTGAAATCCTCTTTCCCTTCCTATCATCCACCCTCCCACCCCTATTTTCCCTATATCACCTTGTATCACATATTATCATTATGCATCCACTCTCCTGTGCTTCACAGCTGGGAGACCCAACAGAAAACAATAAAAAACAAAATCACACTAATGTGGCAAGGCTAAAAACATAATAGCACACAGGCAAAAATACAAATGATGCGTAAGAAGGAAAAGACCCCCAACTGCATTCAAAAAGCCAGAGAAGAAATTTCTGTCATGGAACCAATAAGAGATACTTGCACCTGGAACAGATTCAGGCCATATCTATGGGGTGGTCAGCTAGCCGACTATTGAGCTCAATCCAATGTAATCAAGATTACAATGGTCTCTGCCTGATTGTAAGGCTGTCCAAGACACGTGCCTGTGGCTAGAGCAGATCTACCACTGACGCGGTCTGACTAGATACTCTTCGTGTGTTTCATTTGGTTTGGGGCTCCCTCCGTGCCCCAGAGCCCTCCACAAATTGGGTGTGCATAATTTTTGCTGTGATGCTTTTCTCCTCCCCATATTCGAATTTTGTAATTGTCGTCTTTGGATCACAAAAGCTGGTGTGCTCCCTCTGTGTGGATTTAGATGACTCCTAGCTTAGATGACTCCTTGTTTGAATACAAGACTTTGAGACCTTGTTCTGATGGGTAGCCGGACAGCATCTACTTTCTTCACCACACTTTGCTTTTAGCACCCTTATCTTCAGTGATCATTTCATGAAGCGGAGTATTGAGCAGGGCCATGATATAAGACCTGATTGTTCAAGTTGGAGCTAGGATTTACTGCGAGCCCAAAACACATTCCTGGATCTATGCCTTATTTTTTTTCTGCCACTTGGGAGCCAATACATATGTCATATCATTCCATAGTTCAATCATTGTGTTAGTCTGGGTAAGCAAGAGAAACAAATTCATAAACACGCATATGTACGTAAGAGAGAGTTTTATATAAAGAGTAATTATACATTAAGAAAACATCCCAACCCAGTCCAGCCTAAGGTCTTAAGTCTGATATTAGCCCATATGTCCGATACCAATCTATAAAATCCTCTTCAGACTCAGGAAACACATGCAATGATGCCAAATGCAGAATGATCACAAGCCAGTGGGTAGAAAGTCTTTAGATCCAGTGGCGTTGTAAGATCTCAGCGCTGGCAGAGGTCTCTCTGTGGTTTCTCCGGCTTGAGAGGTCTGGTTGCATCAGGGCAGGTCCATGTGGCTTTTCCAGCTCAGGGCCCTAGTGTAGTTCCATGTGTCTTGTCAGCTGCAATGTCTCCCAGGAAAGTCAGCCTTGTCGGTAGAGTGTCTCCAAGGGAGTGAACTGAGAGAGAGACAGTGTCTCCTGCCTCCAAGAAGGAATACTGGATTTCCCAGAATTCTCAGGAGAAGACCATGCCCACACAGAGGTCTCATTGGCTATCTCCAGGTCGACAGGCTAGAATCCACCTTAATCCTCAAATTGACACCAGATTAGGTGACTACCACAATCATGTCAAACATAATTGTGCAATTGCTTCCATAATCATACATGTTTTTCAAAACATACTTTTCCTTCCTGGACTTCTTGACATCATCTCCCTCTTATCTCCCCCACCCCTAGGTAGCCCCTTTCCCCCAAACCCTTCTTACATTTGCTTTCCCAGTAGGCTCCACATCCCTAAGTTTCATTTACTGAAAAATAAATAAACAGTTAACACAGCTTCAAGAGGATGAACTCCAATGGTAATGCACCTCTGAGATACACCTTAATATAAACAAACATAAGCAAAATATAACAAAATGGCTATCGCAGCGTTGCCAGAATACTACATATCTTAATACAGCAAATGGGACGTTGATGTACCAAGACATTGTTTTTTCACCAACTGCTCTTGGTACAGCAGTCTTCTACCTCAGACACTGTGTGTTTTTCTGGCTTACGTCCTCAGGTTACAAGTATATCTGGGGTAGAGTCCAGTTTACCCAGTGGAGTTCCCATTGGGGATTCAATGTTCTAATGAATACAAAAACAAAGCATTCATAGTACTTCACAGTTTTATTGATATATAATTCACATTGCACAGCAATTTTTCCCAATGCAAAATGTCATTTGATTTCCGTTGATTGTAGATCCAAGCAAATTGAAATTCTTGACCACTTTAATTTTTTATCCACTTATCGTGTTGTCTATTGACTCAGTTGTGAAGAATTTTGTTTTCTTTGTGTTGAGCTATAATCCATACTGTAGGCTGTAGTCCTTGATCTTCATCACAAATGCCTCAAATCCTTTAAGTAAGCAAGGCTATATCATCTATATATTCATCTATATACCTCAGTTTGTTAATAAGCCTTCCTCCAATCCTAGTTCTTTTTCATGTAGTCCAGGGTATTATTTATTATTATCATTATTATTTGCTAGAATACAGATAAGAATAAGTACAGTGAGATGATATAACCCTGACGCACATCTCTCCTGATTTTAAACTACACAGCATTCCCTTGTTCTGTTCAACAACTTCATCTTGGCCCACTTATATGTTCTAAATGAGCACAATGGCATGTTCTAAAGTTCCTATTCTTCTCAATGTTATCCATAGTTCCTTATGGTCACCAGCGTTGAATGTCTTTAATAGTCAATGAAGCACAGGTAAACTCTTTCTAGTATTCTCGACTCTGAGTCAAAATCCACTGATATCAGCAATGATATCTCTCGTGCCACATCCTCTTGTGAATCTGGTTTGAATTTCTGGCACTCCATGTCAATATACTGCTGCAACCACTGTTGAATTGTCTTCAGTAAAATTGTACTTGCCTGTAATATTACAATATTGTTTGATAATTTATTCACTCTGTTGGGTCACTTTTCTTTGTAATGGGAACAAATGTGAATCTCTTCCAATCAAGTGACCAGATATTGTCTTCCAAATATCTTAGCATAGGCAAGTGAGTGCTTCCAATGCTTCATCAGTTTGTTGAAGTATTTCAATTGTTATTCCATCAGTGCCTGGAGTCTTATTTTTTTGCTAAAGTCTTCACTGCAGCTTAGATTTCTCCCTTCAGTATCATTGGTTCTTGATCATATGCTATCTTGTTTTGAAATGATTGATTGTCAACCAGTTCTTTCTGGTGCCATAGTATGTATCCATTTCATTGTCTTTTGATGTTTCCTGTATCATTCAATCTACATAGTTTGGATGCTGAAAAGTCTCAAATCTATGTGTCAAGCGTCAGACTGGAGGCTTCTCCTGACTCACATAGCTGCAGGGCCTGAAGAATCTGAGATCAGCAGATCAGACAACAATCACTGGCTAACAGGCTGCAGAGGTGATGAATCTCAAGAACAAGCAGTCAGATAATAGCAATCCAAGTTCAGGATCTAGCAAGTGAGTAAACATTGGCAGCAATCCAACATATATCCGATACAGGCCACAACCACAAGGAAACTCCCCCTTACAACTGGTTGGCTGATCGCATCATGGAGGATGCTTATTCCATTACATAACTACCAACCATCACTATATAACTGCCAAGCTACATCTTTACATAACTGCCAAGTCACTGAGCAGCACAGCACTGACAAGTTCACACAACCTCAATCATCACAGAGCTGTTCTTTCCTAGCTTCATTGGAAAGCACAGAGATTTTTTAATTTATTATAATTGGGAGTTAATACACATATCATATCATTCCATAGTTCAATCATGTCCAGAAGAATTACACAATTAAAAACACAATGTTTCATTGTCTTTCTCACTACTGTGCCTTCCCAATCACAGAGTACACCAGTTTCCTTTCATTCAGACCTTCTCGCTGTATAGGAGCATCATTCCCTCTGCTCTCTGCACCTGTAAACTCTGAAGGGTGACATAAGCATGGGGGAACCTTTATCTTGATAGTCACCTTGCATCTTCAGAGGTCAGAGACTTCTTCTCTAAGCGTCCTTTCAGATACCTGGATAGTCTATAACTCCATTATCCTACCCCACACTACGGAGAGATCAGAATTGGTTTGGGACACAGATGGAAGGTGGGTAGTGAATGAGAGGGAAAGAGCAGTAGGCTGGGAGTGGGAAATGTGGGCATCTTGGGCCTCCTTTGCAGCTAACTACTTGGTGACCATAAGCACAGGGAGCATTAGGTGGTTTCCTACCTGTCAAATGAAAAACTTTCCCCAAGCAAGTCTAAGTTCTCTTCTAGCCCCAGATCTCTGATGATTCTCCTCATTTAAAGAGAATCCATTTACCTCTGCTTTGTCAAGATCTGGTATTGGTAGCCTGTATTGTGGAGGGAAATTTTGTCTTTGAGACCTATTGACATCTATTTGTTAATACACGACATTGCCTAATCTCTGGCGCTCCTCGTTCTCTGTAAAATGTGTAAGAGCCATTACTTCTGCCAACCAGCTCTCAGGCACTGAGATTCACACTCAAAGTGTCTCAGAGCATAGAAAGCACCCCTCTTAATAAAGAGGACTTACTCCAGCAGCACACAGCATGTTCAGTTTTTCCAACTGAACAGAGAATCATAGTCAATACAGGAGTGGCCTCCTGAACTTAAGCCCCCCAAGATTGTGGGGGAGTGTAGGAGGAGCCTTGGTGGTTAGAGGTGGGAAATGATCCACAAGGTCAGCAGTTCAAAACCACCAGATGCTCTGTGGGAGAAAGATGGGGCTTTCTACTCCTATAGAGAGTTAGTCTCGGAAACTCACAAGGGCAGTTCTAGCCTGGCCTGTGAGACGGCTAAGAAGGGCGTCGGCTTGGCAGCAGTGAGAGGAGACTCCATGCCGTCTCCCACAGCCCTCCCATCTTTCCTGACCGGATTCTAAGGAACGGTCTTCCTCCTCCAGACATTTAGCGTTAAATATCTGGCTTAAAATCCGAACTAAAGACTTATTTAAGCGATATTTTAAGAACTAATAAATAAGTAAAATTCCTGAAGGATCTTGATACTAACTACAGGGGATTTTCACAAGCTGACCTAGACGATGCTGACTTGCTGATCCTAATTCATTTTCACTTTTAGTAGGTACTTTCTGGACCTCTGGAACCAAGCTCAGCATTCACACTAACCCTAGGATGCCTCCCTGTGACTTCACGCCTGAAAAATACAAGGTAAGATTGAGGAGTTTAGGAAACGCCCCCCTCCCTCCACCACCACCACCATGTACACACCTGTCAAAACAACAAACAAAAAGATGAATCATCTAAGGCAGTCTCAGTGAACTGTGTCCTCAGGAAGGGCCCACAAGTGGCCCTGCCTGCCACCAAGCAGTCCCATCAGAGATCCCTAAAGTCTCCTTCTTTTAAGGCACTGAGAACATATGATCTCCTCTTACTCCATCTAATTACTGGTGCACTAAGTGGTATAAGAAGGGAGCATGTATGTACGCAACAAAGAAAGACTATAAGAAGGATAACAGACATGACAATTTTGATTGGTTCATGTGGAAATGCATGATTTGTTGTTCTTGCATCTTGTATCCCTAAAGTTAACATTTTTTCTCAAGTTAATTAAAATTGCTCGCTCTCTCACTCTCTCTCTCTCTCCCTCTTTCTGTCTCTCTCTCTCAGCAGCCCTTTATCATACCTGACACTAACAGATTAGAAATCATAACATCAATATGTAGATTAAGAAGGAACCACACTGAAGAGCCACATGAAGGAGATGTTTACAAGGAAGCACACAAGCACCAGCACTGTGACCTTTTCCCAAAAAAACTACAGCAACAAACAAACGTGCCTCCTCAGTTCAGACATTCTACTTCCAAAGCCCACATTCTTCTCGTTGCTGAAGTCAGCTCAAAGCCAGAGATTTCCATTTAGACCAGTGGTTCTCCACCCTACTAATGCTTGACCCTTTAATACAGCTTGTCGTGTTGTGGTGACACCCAGTCATAAAACTGTAATTTTGCTACTGTTATGAGTTGAAATGTAAATATCTGATATGCAGGACATATTTTCATGATTACAAATTGAACATAATTAAACATATGTAAAGCATAGTGATTAATCACAAAACAATATGTAATTATATATTGTGAAATATTTATGTGTTTTCTGATGTCTTTATGTGTTTTCTTATGTGAAAGGGTCGTTCCACCCCCAAAGGGGTCACGACCCACAGGTTGAGAACTGCTGATTTAGACAAAGACGATTGCAGCCTCTCTCCTCATGCTTGACCTAGAAGTTGCTGGCAGGTCCATGAGAGATGTCCCTACTCATGATGGGCCTTAGGTTCTTACCAGAAGAACACTGTCGAAACACAGTTCCTCTGAAACACTGTGGGTTCCTCTGAAACAGTATGGGGCAACAGCTTTATGTTTCATTCAATGAATCCATTGCAGTGGAGGCTACTGTGTCGCATGGTGACCCTACAGGACAGAGGGCAGTAGAACTGTCCCATAGGGTTTCCTTATAGAAGCAGGCTGCCACAACTTTCTCCTGTAGAGGGCGCTGCTGGGTCCAAGTTCCTGACCTTGGGGATACCAGTGGATCACTGAGCAAGTGCACCACCAAGGCTCCTTCCATTCAGTACAGGGACTGGGAGAAAAAAAAAATAGCTGCTCTTGAGTCGATGTCTACTGACTGCTGCTCATCTGTGTCAGAGTAGAAATGTTCTCCACAGAGTTTTCGATGGCTAGAATGTTTCAGAAGTACAGAGACGATGAGCCAAACCCACTGCCACCAGGTCAATGCTGATTCATAGTAATTCTAAATAGTTTCTGAGGCTCTGTCCATCGTTACATGGGCAGACAGCCTCATCTTTCTCCTGTGGAGCAGCTCAGGGGTTTGAATGGCTGACTTTGCAGTTAGCAGCCAAAGGCTTACCCAACAGCTGATCTGTTGATCTTGTTTAAGAAAAAAAAAAGAGAAGAAACAAGGAAAAGAAAGACTTTAACTATTGTCTATCTACAGAGTCTTGCGTATAACCGTGTTGTGGAGATCCACAATGAACATTTCTCTCCGGTGACGACGGCATACTTTCAGAAACCCTTGCTGATCCACCAGGGGCACATGGAGTGGCTATTTGATGTTGAGGGAAACAGATACCTGGACTTCTTCTCAGGGATTGTCACTGTCAGTGTTGGTCACTGCCACCCGTGAGTATCATTACATGTTGCGGTGTTCACTCCAGAGGAATCTTTGGGAAACAGGCTGACAGTCATCTCTGTGGTTGAGAACCCTTGGTTCAGCCATCCAGTCTTGGTTGCGCTCACGTTGATCCGGACCCATGGCTGCTTCGTGTGTTCCGGAGTAGAACTGTGCTCCACAGGATTTTCAGTGGCTCATTTTCCAGAAGCAAATCTGAGAAGTAGGTGCCTCTGAGGGTACCTCTGCGTCGAAGGAGCATTCTGGCTGAATTGCTGCCAAGACAGGTCTGCTTGTTCTGGTGGCCGCCCATGGTACTTTCCATAATCTTCGCCAACATCATAGTTGGCCATTTGCACCTGGGAATTCCTTGGTCCAGTTACAGTGGTTGAAAAAGAATACGAAGAAGGAAAAACACTTCCCTCCTCTAGCTGATATAGTCACTGCCGTTTGCTGGGTAAAAAATCTCAACATAACACCTGTTCTTTTCAAGACCATTCAAGGCTCTGTGATTCTCATTACACATGCAGCGTGGCTTGTACCATTTGCTTAGGGTGTTATTGTGTGTGTTTCTCTCTCTAGTAAGAGCTTCACACTTGCCTGGAAAGCACTGAGATCAGGGCAGAGATGAAAGGGAAGGCCAGGGGCTCTCACAGAAATACAGGGGCAGATAAGCGAGCTGATGGATAATGAGAACTTGGAGCCTGGGGATCATCTTAATCAACTCTGAGAGATGGAGGAGGAGGAACAAAATATGATAAGACAAAGACATAATAACAGCTGGAAATTTACCTGGGAAATGCATGGATCAAGTGATCCTGAGATTCTTTGCAGCCTTGATCACAATCCCATCCACTCAAATGTCTGCCAGCAGGTCCTTCTATAATCCTTTTAGATATGGGACAGCCATTTCATTGCAATGCCTATTCTCTCTCTAGCCTTTAGTAATATGGCAAATAAAACTTATTTTAAATAAAAAACATTATTAAAGTAGTAAGTGTAAAATAAACATAAAAGTTTGGGCCCTCTGCAGAAGCAGAAGGTACAGAAAGCATCTCTCCTCCAAGCAGCTGTCAGCAGGTAAAGTACATCAGTGAAGAAATGGAAGCCTCTCAGTGGGATGGACTGAAATGTATTGTGTAGCTCAATAGTTATACGTATTAAGAAGAGTTGCACAATCATCACTCTAATTGCTTTTAAAACATTTTCTTATTCCTGGTACTCATTAGTATTAGTTCTCCAGCCCCACCCCACCCCGCCCCACTTCCCTTGCCATAACCCCAAGAAAGTACCAATCCAGATACCATATCTATAGATATACCGATCCTAGATTGCATATAGAGAAAAACATGCCCCAGAAAAGAAAGAAAAAACAATAACAGTAGCAAAGTAAAACCTCAGTTGAAAAGATAACAGAAAATAATAAAAACTAGAAAAAATTTCAAATGGATCAAAAGAGAGAACACGTGATAAGGTGTTCAATTCTAGCATAACGACGTCGGCATCAGTCCACATTCCGGTGTGCTGTTTGATAGCGAGGCTATTCATATCCCTGCTCCACAGGCAGAGAGGGTTCACCAGAGGTTTCCTCCAAGTAGGGACCCTTCAAAGGGGTCTGGAGTTTTCACTGTCACCCACAGCTTTCTGCGCACTGGGTGCTTGGAAGTTAAGCTCTGAAACTGTTCCTTTTCCAGTCTTGGATTTTATTATTTACAATGCTCAGATCGCACAGGTTGGTGTGTGCTTCTTCCATGTGGACTGAGCTGACACCTCACTTGGATCACCGCTTGTTTTAAGACAGCCTTTAGGATCCCAGATGCTATTCTTTCTGGCAAGCAGGTACCATCTGATTTCTTCACCACGCTTTGCTATGACACCCATATCTTCAGTGACCTCTTCATGAGGGAAGGTATTGAGTAGGGCCAGGCCATAAGAACTAATTGTTCTTAGATTACGGCTACAATGAAGTGCAAGTTCAAAATTCCATTCATGTATCTATGGTTTATATACGTCCCTACTTACTGGCTTTTTAAAAACCTTTATGCTTCTCCTGATTTCCATCTGACCTTTCTGCTTGTTTCTCTGACCTCCTATGGTAGTTGCAAAATCTGGTGTCAACTTGAGACTATTAAGAGTGAAGAAGAGGAGTTTAGCCTGTCAATCAGGTTGCAACTTGATGACCTCATTTGGAGGCACAACAGAGATAAATAGCTCAATGGAGGTCAGACATGCACTCTCCCTGGGAGACATTCCTGTTGACAAGCCACATGGAGCTACAATGATGGTACTAGATCCCTGGAGCTGGAGGAGCCACGTGGAGACCCACGCCAACGCTATGATGTTTCCACCGCCACTGGCTTTCCACCTAGTGGCCTGTGGTCTTCCTAAATTCAGTATCATTGTGTGAGTCTGAAGAGGAGTTTATAGGCTGGTATTGGACATATGGGCTAATATCAGACTTATGGACTTGATCTGGACTGGGATGGATGTCTTCTAAATATACCATTACTCTTTGATATAAAGCCCTCTCTGACATGTATATGACTGTCTCTGGAATCGTTTTTCTAGTCTACCTGGACTAACACACCTCCTAATTCTGGATGTCCTGATACTATTCTTAATTTTCCACTGTTATAGCCACACGCCCTTTCTCCTTTATTGTTTTCCCATAGAATGTGCCCTACCCTATCGACTCACTCCAGTCACTTAATTGCTACATTTTTGACAGCCTTGTTCATAGCCATCAAGTTGGCTCCAACTCATGATCCCTCCATGTCCAGCACAAAAAAAATGTGTCTCATTCCTGCACTATCTATCCCCATGATCACTGACACATTTGACTCGGGATTCCATAGGCTGATTTTTGGAAGTAGATAATCTGCCAGGCCTTTCTTCCTAGTTTATCTTAGTCTGAAGGCTTTACTGTCTAACATCCCAGCAACATATAAGCCAGCTGCGTTAGGCTGGGTTGTCTAGGAAGACAAAACCTGTGGCACTCGTCTGCCTATAAAGAAGAATTTTATATCAAGAAGGAATCCTAGCTCAGTCCAACTCAAGTCCAAGGCTAGCAAGGGCTTTCTTCAGACTAACATAACTGCAGACCAATGATGGCGAAAGGTAAATAGGGATACAAGGAGATCACAGACTGGTGGGTGCAGAGTCACGTGGTTCAAAAGTCAATGGAGACGTGGCAGGGGCTGACAGCTTCCAGGTTGACTCTCAGGTTTGGGTGACCCACCTGGAGCCGTCCCAAGAGGTAGACACAGTATTCCAGCAAGGAGGAAGTAGAAGGGGCAGAGAGAAAATCTGTTCCCAGTGTCTCTCCCTCTTGATGGACAGGTTAGGCTTCACACCTACCTCCACACAGGTACCATCAAGTTGACATAAAATTTAATGACCATGCCACCACAGTATGACAAACTGAAAAATAAGTGGTGAGCCACATACCTATCTACACTTGTTTCCTATTATCCCTGAAAATGAACTTCTGATCTTGAAAAATTGATCTGATCCTTTAAAGAATGTAGTTTCATATTTATGAAATATTTGTCATTATTAACTACTTCTCAGCTGCAGCAATATGAATCTCCTTTTAAGCAAAAACTATTGGTTGTGCGTACATGTTAATGAATGGATCTATGATCCTAAGAATAAAATGGGAAGGCTTACATCCAGTTATCTCTATTTTCCAAATAGCTCAAAGAGAAGTTAATAAGAAAACTGATAGTTATAAGAGGTTTAAATCTAAACTTTCTTCAGGGCAAGGAATTTTTCCCTAAAATCTCTAACTGTGATAATTAAAATTGTATATCAACTTGGCTGGGCCATGATTCTCAGTGGTTTGGAAGTTACATCCTAGTTTGGCGCTTGTGTAATGATGTAGTCATCTGCCCTGATGAGATCTGACATAAGGTCATGATGATATGTGCTATGAGCGACCAATCAATTGAAAGGGAGTTTCCTTAGGGATGTGGCCACTCTATCTGGACATTTGGCAAAGTTTCTGGATTTTTACTGGATCTGATTCCTGCATCTGGCTTGTCATCTCTCATGTGACCTCTAGGCTTGAGCCAGTGGCCTGCCATATTGCCTTCCAGTCTTAGGAGTCATTAGCCTTCTGTCTTCGACTGAGTTCTCTAGCAAAACAAAACAATTTAAGTATATGTGTGTGTGTACAAGGGGGTACCCAAAAATAACTGGAGTTTTTTTTCTAAAGCTTGTATTTGAATTTTTTTTACAAAACAACCTTATCACCTTCAAAATACTCTCCACTTAATGCATTTGTCAAATCTGTGATTACATTCTTGGAAACATTTTTCAAACTCATCTGATTGGATGGCTGACAGCACCTCCCTCATTTTTTTCTTCACCTCTTCTACTTCATCAAATCACTGTCCTTTCATGTCCCTCTGCTTTAGCGGAAACAAAAAGAAGTCACATGGGGTGAGGTCAGATGAGTAAGGTACGTGGAGCAAGAGAGACATGCTGGCACACTGATATTGCTGCATGAGCAGGTGCATTGTCATGGTGGCAAAAACAGTCCACCTTTTGCCACAGATCAGGCCTTTTTTATTGCACACTGTTACACATTTTTTTTCAGAACCTCTAAATAGAAAGCTAGATTAACAGTCTGACCTGATGGAATGAACTCCAAATGCACTATCCTTATCATATTAAAAAAAAAGAGCATTGTCTTGATCTCTGATTTCACTTGACAACCTTTGGGGAGCAAGGTGATGCTGGTGTCTCCCACTGGCTTGATTGATGTTTGCACCATGTTTTGTCGCAGTAGTGACCTTGGAAAAAGTCTGGATCCCTTCAGAGCTGTTCTTTCAAAGCACAGCATGTTTCCAGTTGACACTCTTTTTGTTGGCCAGTCAGAGCCTGAGGCACAAACTTAACACCAACCCTTCTCATTCTCAAATCTTCCATTAAAATTCACAGCACTGAGCTCCAAGATAGTCCAGATAACATCCCCATCTCTTCAATGGTCTGTCATCAGTCTTTGAGCACAAGTGCATGACTTTTGTCAACATTTTTGTCCATTTTGGGAAATGGACGGACATCCAGAAAGAATAAGGTTTGTTATCCATTTCACCTTTGTTGAAACAAGAAAACCACTCGTACACTTGAGTTTTCCCATAGCGCTTTCCTTGTAAGCTGTGTTCAACATCACAAGAGTTTCTGCAGCATTTTTCCTAAGCAAGAAACAAAATTTCACAGCCCCATGCTGTTCTTTTAAATCAGCCTCATAAAAAAACGAGGTTTAAGGGAAATTGCTTTTACAAAAAATTCACTGTGACCAGAGAGAACTTTCCCAGGCAACGCCACTGGGGGTGCACTAACTCAGAGCAAGTTGCTTGATTCT